ACGAAGAACCTATGGAACAGTCCAACCAACAGGGATGTCAGGGGTGATGGCCAGGGCAGCAACACCCCAAAGAGCCCCACCCTGCCACGGGCAGCCCGTGGCAATCCAGGTGGGCAGGGAGAGTCCCAGTGCCACCTGCCCCAGCCCGGCTCGGTGCCAGAGCACTGAAGCCCATCCAGGTGGCAAAGACCCCCTGCCAGGGGCTGCGCCGGGGCAGTGAGGGCAGTGCCAAGCAGTGGGGTGCTGTTCCTCATGCCGGAGGTGCAGGAGGAACCCTGTGAGCCCCTCGCTGAGCTATAGGGTTGTTGGGGCATAGACTCCTTTCTCCTGTGGAGTTCAGGGCAAAGAGTCTGCCTGGGTGAAGCCTTTGTACAATTCCCTACAAGTCAGGTTTTATGTCAGCTTGACAGTCCATAAAGAAGACAATGAAATTTTTTCTCTTGCCAATGCCCCCAAGACTGTGGGGGAAGACAAACCAAGTTCTTCCCTCCAACACCTGCCATCCAGCCCCATCTGCCCCTTTTCCAAAACGTGCTCTGTTCACCCCTAGTCCTTCCTGCTTCAAAGCCCTACAGCAGGTTATCGGGCTTGCAGTTTATAACTTTTAATTAGTTTTTAAAATTAATCTTTAGAAGTGTAAGTCCACCTCTCGGCCAGCTGGTAGCTAAACTTCTTTCCACAGTGTGTTATTCTTAGGGTTTGATTGAGAAAATCAGGGAACCTTTTAGTTTTGCTAAACTAACACTTAGGAGCTTCAGTGAACAAAGCTGCAAAGTGGACATGTGAAATGCAGGGTTTATAGCCCTCCAAGGAGTTGTTGCAGAGACCATTGGACAATGAAGAGATTAATAAAGGCAATTTTATATATGCTGGATAGCTCACTGCCTTGGAAAAAGATAATAAAGAGTCAGAGAAATGTGTGCTAATTAGGATGAGAATCAAGAAGGCTCTAACCAATAGAGGTTAGAATAATAACTAATGAAGAGAATTATGTATTTGAGAATGGATGCCCATTGATTTCTTTGTTTGCTAGAAACAGATAACTAAGTGAAAAGTTTTGTGCGTGTGTGGCTGCAACTCTCCACTCCACACACCCTGACCAGCACAAAGTAATGCCTAACTCGCTAATACTAAAATGATCCTGTTTGAGGATTTCATTTATCCTGGTTTTGGAGACTGTTTCTAGAGACCCAGATGGAACTATGCTCCTTCTTTTGCTCCACGGATTCAGAGGATTGAGAGGACTCCAGTGCACTCCAAAGATTTTTCAGGGAGATCCTCCAATGCCCGAATCCATTGAGTTCAAGGCAAAGACCCCTGGGATTTCAGTAAGGCAGTTTCAGACCCACCTTTAACTGCAGGTGGGGGAATTGTGGTAATGGAAAAACTGGGGGAAGAGGCTGAGAGAGGGCATGCTCAGAATGTTCAGCAAGGAACCCTGGATCAATATTTCCCTCTTGCACATCCCTGCTGGAAGGAAGTAGAAAACACTGTCACTGTGTTGATGTGGACCAACGGAATTCCCTGCAAATCCAAGCAGTGGAACCAGTAAGGATTCTGTTTGAGCCTGATGGGCAACTGGTTGGGCAGAAAAAAATTATTCTTTGAAGTCAGAAGCTAGAAGAGGGTTAGAGGAATGATATAGGACTCCTCTCCTGCCAGTAAAGGAGCCACATACTTATGAACACAGGCTGGTACAAGATGTCAGAGCTGTCAGTGAAATAGTGTGAGACTTAGACCAGTGGTAGCAAGCCCTTATACACTTTTAAGCCCAATTAAGTAATCTGATGAGTCCTGATGAGTCCTCTGTTGTGGATGTTAAGGATGCTTTTTTTCTGCATTGCCCTTGAAACTGAAAGTCAACTCTTGTTTGCCATTCAATGGAAAGTTCCTTGATGGGCCATGAAACCCAACTGAAGTGGACCTATTTTCCTCCAGGGTTCAAAAATCACCCCACATTGTTTGAGAACTGTCTCAATTTGAGACAAGTTCAGAGGAGACAGGTTTCAGCAGTCCCTCCCACAGCAAGGAATGTTTTTGAGGAAACTGAAAAAAAGCTCTTTATTTAACACACAGAGTGCAGGCAGGCGCAGGAAACAGAATGAATAATGTTATAAATGAACATTTGTCCAGCCAAATTAATATGAAAAATAAAATATTTATTCTGCAATCAAATTCTAATTAGCCAGCCACAAGGAAAGAACAGAGCCGAGCCCAGGGTTGGCCCTGGGTGTGCAACAAGGAGTCAGCCTCAGCAGAGGTTTTCCTCCATGCCCACACACTTCCATCCTGGCACAAGCGGTTTTTATAGGGAAAATTCCGCCTGAGGCCAAGATTTCAGCAATCAGTCTTTTCTTCTATACAGAGTCTATATGTTAATAAGATTTTCCTTTTTGGTGATGAGGGAGAAAAAATCAGTGTCTGGAGTTTGTTGAATCCCTTGATGAAATTTATGGGAATTCGGGAACGCTGCATTCACATGTATCTGCCTGAGGATTTCCATGATATCCATCTCGGGTCATTCACCCGAACGATCAGCACCTGGGGTTTCTGTATCTCCCCAGCCATGGCCCATCTCCTGGCGAGCTGTACCTTCCTACTTGTAAATCAATTTCCAATCTACACCTGGTCTCACCTGCGCCTATGAGGGTGGGGGGGGAATCCTAAAACAAACATGTATACTCTAACAAATATTCAATATCACATATATCATATTAGAAATGGCGCTAATTATATCTACTACACATAACAAATAACATCAGATATTCAAACCTTCTTGCTGTGGAGAAAGCTGTGGATTCACAGTTCTTTGTGTAGGAGTGGCTCAGCTCCTCCCGAGTCTGGAGCCAGGACGCCCATCCCAGGGCCTCCCCTCCAGGCTGGGGCACAGGGCTCCCGGCAATGTTTGGGCCAGGGAAAAGCCCAACAGTTCCAGGAAAAAAACCACAGGCCTGGAAAAATTTCTGGCATTGTCAAACAAGCAAAGAAGGAGCCAGCTAAAAGCAAAGATGTACTCCCTCTGTCCATGCTGCACAACACAGCTGAGCGAGCCTGGGGGAGGATGTGTGAAAACCACACCAAAAGAATTCCACCAGCTTTCCACCCCTCTCTCAGACCTAGCTTAAAGTTACAGGATCCCTGTCTGGGCATTAGGCAGACAACAGGGGCACAGTATCATACTGCCACCCCAAGACAAGAACCAAGTGGCAAAAGAATTGGAGGCATAGTGTTGTGGTTGGATTTATTTTATTGATTCCTCGTTAAGTGGTTCATCCTGTTGCACCCCCATGTTCTCCCCGAGTTTGTTTAGCCCTGGGCTTTACCCTCCCTCAAAGCTGTTCCCTATGCCATTCCCCACCCTTGGTCCAGCTCTTTCCCTGCCTGTCAAGGCAATCCACGCCTTGATTCCCGAACCTTCTGTGCCACTCAGACCTTGGGTCAATCCCTGTCTGCAGCACCCTTTGGAATTTTCCTATCCCTGGAAGCCCCGCTGGCACGTGTGCCCCATCCTCCCCACCCCCCTGCCCCAAGTGGCCCCAGACACTGGATGTGATCCCCTCACTCCTCCCCTGAGGATTCCCTCTTGGTTGGCTGTTTGCATCCACCCCTGACTTGTATCTTTACTAAACCCCTGCACAGGAGTGCCTGCGGCTCTTTGTTTGAGCTCCCTTCACCTGGAGTGAAGTGTTCCTTGTGGAACCTCAAGGCAGAGAGCCTCCTCCTTTCTCCTCTCGTGGTGCCTGTGGTGGCTTGTGTCTGGCACCTTAGAGCAAGTGCCTCTAAAGGTTCAGCCTCAGGTAAATCCCCATACCGAGGCAGTTCCCCACTCCTGGCCAGGCAGCGGAGTTGTAAGAGCTAGCCAAGCTCCAGCAGTCCCTTCAGTATGGGAAAAGGAGAATGAAGGGACCACTTTGCTACAGTATGTGGGTGATCTTTTAATTGCTACAGGAACTCAGGCTAGATGCATTGAAATAATTCTCAGTTTCCTGAAGTTTTTGGGACAAGCCAGTTACAGGGTGTCCAAGAAGAAGGCCCCAAGTGCTAAAGAGCGTGTTCTATATCAGAGGTTCACCATTTCCCAGGGGCAGCAAAGCCTTGGAACCAAAAGGATGGAGGCAATTTGCCAAACCCCAGAGACAAGGTCTTTTTGCAGGTTAAGAACATTTCTAGGAATGGGTGGTTGGTGTGGGCTCTGGGTTCTTCATTCTGGCCTGTGGTAAGAGCTTGATATGTGGCCCTGAGAAACCCCCAAGGAGGTGCTACAGCAAGGAGCTGCTGCAGTGGACCCCAAATTGCGAGAGGCTTCCAGAGACCTCAAGAGAGCTCTAATGTCAGCCCTGCACAGGCATTACCTGACGTGACCAAGCCTCTGGAGCTGTTTGTTCACAAACACTGACATGTTGCACTACGGGTGTTAGCTCAGAGGCTGGAGACATGGAAAAGGGCCATAAGATATTTTTCCAAACAAGTGGACAGTTTCAGTTACCTGGTGAACTGGTGCTTCTCTGTAAATGAGGGGAAAAGTTGATCTAGCTGGCCAGTTATTTAAATTAGGAAACCTTAGATCAGTGGACTGTAGTTTTACTCCCTTCCTTGGTAAATGTTTATCCTGCTATTGATGGTGTGGTTCCACGGACTTTGGTAAAATGAGCATCGTATGAGCCCACCAGGAGCTAACACTTCTTTAGCTGGCAACAGCATGAGAATTGAGAAATCAAAACCAAATTGAAGATAGAATATTAATTAAGGAAGAGAAATATGAAATTTATAGGCAATGAGCATTAATTCCTTTGATAAAAATACATAGTGAAAAGTTTAGAGAGTGGATGTGCATGCTGAGTGGAGCTATTCCCAGGCATCCCAGTGCTGGGAATGAAGTGATGCCTGATTCCTAACAGTAAAAATAGTGTAAGATAGTTGTATTTATCCCCATGTTTTCAGTGAGAGTGGGAAAAGGCTCTGCTTGTCTTTCAGAAGACTTTTATTAATGAAATGAAAAATGATTTAACTGACAATAATTGTTGCAGACTTCTCTGTCTGCTGAGAAGACGTCTCTGGTGGAGCACTGGGTTCCCAGTCCTGTCCGGCTACTTGAGGGCTGTCGAAATCTGACGGGGCTGGGCTGGCAGGAGGAGCCCTGGTGCCCTGGAGATGTGTCGGGGGGCAGTGCCTGGCCGGTGGTCCCGAGAGGTGGCAGGGCCTGGGGGTGAGAGGCAAGGGTGAGCCCCCAGTCCCCAGGGCTGCCCCGTCTGGCTCATCTCAGCCAGCCCAGGACGGGGCAGCAGGAGGGTCACCTGCTTGACCAGAGACCCCCAGGGACCAGGCGCAGACCCAGCAGACAACCAGTCTCTTCTCCCCTCATCCCCGTGCCCTGACAGGGCCACACCTGGCTCATCCAGTGTCCTGGTCAGCACAGGAAGCTGGTCATTGCAGCCCCTCGGGATGTGTCCACCCCTGCCCAGCAGCTGGCTCACTCTGGGCTGGGAAGGAGAGAGCAGTTGGCTGAAATGCAGGGCCCAATTCAGCATTCCCTAGCAGCCCTCCCAAACCAGCTCTGCCCGAGGAAACTGAAGGCACAAATTCACCCTGGATCCTCAGCATCACACTGCCAGTCCGCATTACAGATGCCATGTCCCCACCTTCTTCATCCCTACCTTGTTGGGAAGGGTGACGAGTCCCTGCAGAAATGCCTTGTTCCGGAGAGAATCCTGAATGGGGGGCAGTTTGAAACTGCTGCTCTGACGGTCCCCAGAGCTCGGTGGCACACGGGGGACACTGCCATGGACAATCGGCCTCCTGTGGGATGGGGCAGAGGACACTCAGAGCCCAGCCCTGTGGCATCCTGGGCTTCACCCTGCTGTGCCAGGGAGGGGACTGGCAGTGCTGCCTGCAGGGGCATGTCCCTCCCAGCTCCTGTCCACCTGCTGCAGGAGCCCCAAGCAGGAAGCAAAAGCCTGTGACACACCGGGAAAAGCCCTCCTTGCTGTGTCAGGGCTAGCCTGCACCCCGGGAGCTGGGCATGTGTCCTCAGGGGCCTTACCTTTGGCTGTGCGGTGGCTCCTTGCTGGGGGGCAGCGGTGGCAAATACGGGAGTGTCTCAGGGTACCTGGAATGGGCAGGAGTCACAGGTGTGTGACAGGGGACAAACAACCTGTTCCTGTTGGAGGCAGCACCCCCAAACCCAGAGGATTGTACCCCATGGTACCCCGCTGCCTGTAGGCCTTGGGATGAGTGCCCACACCCCTGCTGCCGGCAGGGCTGCAGAGGGGGCTCCCCACATCAGGGCCTCCCAAGCAGACCCTGTCACCCTGTGCCCAGCACAGCGGTCACTGCTGGCACCCATCTCCCCCCATCCCAGCCCCGCTGCCCCCGATGCACTGGTGCTACTCACTGGCCAGGGACCTGCACGGTGAGCATGCGGTCACAGGACAGGCACGTGAAAGGGACTGGCAGCTGCCTAAGGAGGGTGAGAGAAGAGGGCTGGGGGAGCTCCTGGGGCCACAGCCCTGCCCGCACACAGGCAGCAGCGGCTGGCAGCAGCCGGGTGCCGGGCAGGTCACTGCACAGGGTCACAGCGTTTGCAGGCTGAACCGTGGGCTCTTGAGCCTGTTTCTCCCCATCCCCAGCGTGCTGGCTGCTGCCAGCTGAAGGGCACAGGCACCCATGTCACCACCCCAAGCAGCCCCTGCAGCGCTTTCAGCCTCTCTCTGGCACCAAAGTCCCCTGTGTGCACGGCCAGGAGGGCAGGGCACAACCCAGCTCTGGGACCCTGCATCCCACAGCCCTGCCTGGGAGGAGCAGTTGCCATCTCCCACCCTGGCTTCTGGGAGCCTTTGCACCCACAGCCACATTTTGCTTTTGGAGGGCACTGTCCTGCAGGTGCCCTGTCCTCGTGCCTCCTTTCCTGTGTGGAACCTGCTGCTGGTGGAAGGAGAAGGTGCAGCTGCTTCATCAGCATCCCCATGGTTCATTGAGCAGCTGAATTGGTCCCAAGGCAGGGGAGCACACGGGGAGCGTGTGGGTCAGCTGGAGGGAATGGGACCATTGCTGTCCCTAAAGCCTTCAGAATCTGCATCACACTCACTTCTTAATCCCAGCAGCGTTTTCACGCAACAGCCTGTTCTCAAGTTCCTCAATATTCCTGCTCCAGGCCTCGTCAATGTGCTTACGGAAAGCCTTCAGCTCCAGGCGATCCAGCTGTGAACAGGTGCACAGCCTCAGCCAGCTGCCCCGGGATGTGACATGGAGCTCTCCAGGGAAAAGCCTGGAGGGGGACCCTCAGAGGGATGCTGCCTCAGGCTGTCGAGTCCCAAAGGTGCCAGTTTGTCATTTTGGGGACGAGGGACCACTCACCTTCTCTTCAATTGCATCGCTGAACTGACGCTGCATATTGTTCCAGTGCTCCTCCTGACCTGAAATCTGGCTCTGCAACTCCTGCATCCTCTCATCCAGCTCTTCCATGTTCTCTTCAAATTGGCTGCAATTGACTTTGCTTCCCAAGGCAGCTTTGTCCGCCTTCTAGCAGAGGGGAATGGCAGGAAAGCGGTGGGGAAAGGGATGAGGAACGACAGGCAGGGCCAGCGCGTGTGAGGGGCAGAGAGAGAAGTGCTTCCTCCAGGCCATCATGCCCCTTTCAGGGTGCTGTGGCCCCATGTGCCCCATCACCCTGGTGGGTTTGGTCCCACCATCGGGAGGGTGAGGGAACCCCAACATGCTCGGGAAATTCTCCCTCCCCAGGCCAGTTCTGCCACCCAGCCCCCAAGGGACAAGGGGCATTTGGCACCCTGCCTGGAAACCCTTGGGCTGGCAGAGAGGCCCATTGAGACTGTACCATGTCCATTGCTGCCATCACGTCCTGCTCATTTGCCTTCTCCTTCTGAAGCTTCTCCAGAGACTGGAACAGCATCTTTCAGTACAAAAAGGAACCCATGACATCACAGCAAGGTTGGGGCACACCCCAGGATATGGGAGCATCGCCCTCTCCCCCTACACAAAAAACCTTGGCGAAAGGCACTTGGAACAAGCACAGTGCTGGGAGGAGATCGTCAAGAGATGCTCTGTGATCCCTGCCCGGACACATCTTGGGGGATGCTTTGACCTAAAAAGGGTTTCAGCCACACACCGTGATTTCTTTCTGCTTTTGTTGAGAGTCCTTCTGGAGGATCCCTGAGGCTAAGCTGAGTTTCTCGTAGTCTTTTTGAATCTGCAGAAACTTGGCTTCCATGTGCTGGCGCAGCTCCTGATCCTGCTCCAGGGAAGGAAGAACATTAGGTGATGACCAAAGGGGGTCTGGCTGCTCCACAGGGCAGACCCACATGACTCAGCCAGTGGCCATGAGCTCTCAGTGTCAACAGGACGTTTGCATCAAGGCTTTAATCTGCGTCCATGCTGCTGACTGGTCCAGGCCAATTTGGGCAGTTTGGGCCTCCCCCACATTACAGCAAAGCACCACAGAGCATGAGGATGTGGCATGGACCTCCAACATGACCAAGCAAGGGGTGGTGGGAGTGCTGCCCCAGGACCTCACCTGCTCGCTCAGCTGGTCGGCTGTCTGAGTCACCATCTCCTCCAGCATGGCATTCCTCCTCTCCTGCTGCTCTCCCATCTTCTGCAGCTCACGTTTTGTGTCCTGACGCAAAGACCTGGCCAGCGGGATGGGGACAAGGTCAGGGTTTCCCCTGCAGGGCTGCAGGGCACTGTGCTGTGCCTGCAAAGCAGGATGCTGCCAGACCCCCTGGGCTCCCTTGCAGTACCACAGGGTATGAAACCCACTCCTGTCCTCTTACTCAATTTGCTGAGAGATCTCCTTCTTGCTCTCGTCTTTCCACTTGGCTGCATCCTCCCTCAGCTTTTTAAGGTCCTCCTCCAGCTTCTTCATCTGGAAAGCCAGTGATGGTAAGAGTCAGGGCACGGACATCCTGTGGTCCCAGCATGGGGGCCCTTCAGCTACATGGGCAGACCCAGGTTCCTCCACCTGGTCCTGAGACCCTGATCCCAAACCCTGCTCTTGGAATCACATTGATGTTCCCCATGAGAGCCTAAAGATTACACGGCCCAACAGCTCACTAAAGCAAGTGACTCCTTAATCTTCTTTATGTCTCCCTCCATGAGGATCTGTGTTGTCTTTATCCTTTCCATCTCCTCCCGGAGATCCCGCATGAGAGCCATGTCCTAGGAGAGAGGAGTGGTGGCAGTGAGCCTGTGGGAGGGTCAGTGGGCACCTGCAAGGCCCTGACCCCTGCTGTGCTTTGTGGAGCCCTGGGGACAGCGCAGGGCCGGGCTCAGCCAGGCTGGCAGGGCTCTGCAGGCAGCACGGTCCATGCATCTGGCAGGGCCAAGGGTACTGAGCCTCCAGCCAGCAGGGCCGAGGGTCCAGGCTGCTGTCTCAGACCCAAAACTTGCTCCAAGCAGCACTTCACCTCGTCCCGTGATATCTGGATCTTCTTCATTTCCCCTGCCGTATGACGCTGGGCAGCCTTTAACTTTTCAATTTCTTCTTCATGCTGGGACACAGCCATGGTCTAGGAAAAAGCATTGTCAGAGACAAGTCTCTGGAGAGTGAGTGTGGGAAATATGACCTTGAGAACCACAGTGCTCTGCACAGACCTGTGTCTCCTGGAACTTCTTCATGTCCACGGAGAGGTGGGAAAGTTCTGCCTTTATCCCACCAAACTCCTCACGAAGAACCTGTGGAACAGTCCAACCAACAGGGATGTCAGAGGTGATGGCCAGGGCAGCAACACCCCAAAGAGCCCCACCCTGCCACGGGCAGCCCGTGGCAATCCAGGTGGGCAGGGAGAGTCCCAGTGCCACCTGCCCCAGCCCAGCTCGGTGCCAGAGCACTGAAGCCCATCCAGGTGGCAAAGAGCCCCTGCCAGGGGCTGCGCCGGGGCAGTGAGGGCAGTGCCAAGCAGTGCTGTCTGAGGAAGCGGGGAGGGGCTGTCTGCTGGGGGAGTGCCCCGGGGGCTGGGAAGAGCCTCTACCTTGGACATGTGCTTCTTGTAGTCTTCCATCTCTTTCTTCATCTTTGCCATGTCAGTGGCCACATCAGCAAGTGAGGGGCCACTCAGCTGGCCCGGCCACGGCTCCTGGCTGGTCAGGTACTGCACGTCCAGGTGCTCCAGCACGGCCTGCAGCAGTTTTCGCATGGCTGCAAAGTGAATGATCCCCTTCTGGGGCGTCCCGATGGCGAGATCCAGCATCTGGGAGAGGCTGAGTGTGTCCAGGGATGCTGCCATGTCTGCACACAGTCAGTCCCTGCTTGGTCACAAGCCTTCCTGCCCAGCTGGGTCTGTCAGGGGTCAGCAAAAGCAATAATAAAAAGGATGAGTAGCCAACAGGCTCCTTCCTCCTTCCGTGTCCTTCTGAGGACTGGAGCCTGCTCTGCTCAAACCCCTTTTCATCACAATTCCTGTTGCCAGGCAGCACACCTCACACCTGGGACCTCACCACTGGGTCACAGACTCATGAAGTCATAGAGTCACGGAATGGCTTGGGCTGGAAGGGACCTCAAACATCCTCTAATTTCACCCCCTGCAGGGACAGATAAAGGGACTTTTTCCGCTAGACCAGGTTGCTGCCAGCTCCATCTAACCTGGTCTTGGACACTTCCAGGAACAGGGCAGACTCTGTTAAGGCATCACCATGCTGACAGAGAAGAGTTGCTTCCCAATATCCCACCTATCTCTCCCCTCTCTCAGTGTGAAGCCATTCCCATGCCAGGCCCTTGTGCCAAGTCCCCCTCCAGTCGTTTTGTAGTCCTTTTATCTGCTGAAATGGGATCAAAGGTCTCCCAGGAGAGAACAGCCTCATTGCTTTTCTTTTGGTCAGTTTAAGAGTTGCGTTTCATCTAAGCCAGTTCCTGCACTGCTGCAAACCCATGGCCTGGTTGGGAGCATCCACTGGGATCAGCCTTTGCAGGGGAAGCAGTGGGGTGCTGTTCCTCATGCTGGAGGTGCAGGAGGAACCCCGTGATCCCCTCGCTGAGCTATAGGGTTGTTGGGGCATAGACTCCTTTCTCCTCTGGAGTTCAGGGCAAAGAGTCTCCCTGGGTGAAGCCTTTGTACAATTCCCTCCAAGTCAGGTTTTATGTCAGCTTGACAGTCCATAAAGAAGACAATGAAATTATTTCTCTTGCCAATGCCTCCAAGACTGTGGGGGAAGACAAACCAAGTTCTTCCTTCCAACACCTGCCATCTACTCCATCTGCCCCTTTTCCAAAACGTGCTCTGTTCACCCCTAGTCCTTCCTGCTTCAAAGCCCTACAGCAGGTTATCAGGCTTGCAGTTTATAACTTTTAATTAGTTTTTAAAATTAATCTTTAGAAGTGTAAGTCCACCTCTCGGCCAGCTGGTAGCTAAACTTCTTTCCACAGTGTGTTATTCTTAGGGTTTGATTGAGAAAATCAGGGAACCTTTTAGTTTTGCTAAACTAACACTTAGGAGCTTCAGTGAACAAAGCTGCAAAGTGGACATGTGAAATGCAGGGTTTATAGCCCTCCAAGGAGTTGTTGCAGAGACCATTAGACAATGAAGAGATTAATAAAGGCAATTTTATATATGCGGGATAACTCACTGCCTTGGAAAAAGATAATAAAGAGTCAGAGAAATGTGTGCTAATTAGGATGAGAAGCAAGAAAGTTCTAACCAAGAGAGGTTAGAATAATAACTAATGAAGAGAATTATGTGATTGAGAATGGACGACCATTGATTTCTTTGTTTGCTGGAAGCAGATAACTAAGTGAAAAGTTTTGTGCGTGTGTGTGGCTGCAACTATCTGCTCCACACGCCCTGACCGGCACAAAGTAATGCCTAACTCTCGTTAGTTCTGAAATATGCATTTTCACATCAATAACAAGGAAAGGTGGCCCAAGGCAGTTATGGGGCTCTCTGGCCGCCTAATGTCGACCGTGTATATCCCTGGCTAATGAACGCTAATTCCATTTGAGCCATGCACGATCGGCCCCAGGCTGCAGGACAGCCGGGGGTGCCTGGCTGGAAGCAGCTCTGGCTCCTGACAGGAGCTGTGGGCAAGGGGCTGCCAGACAGTGCTGGGCCAGCCCCTCAGGCCGGCCCTCAGCGAGGAAGAGGAGGAGGAAGCTGACAACTGAGCTTGCAGCCTCCCCGTGCAGAGATGAAGGGACGAGGGCACTTGGGCGCCGGGGCTCGGGGCCGGCCGTGGGGCACGGCTGCAAGCGGCTCCTGAGTCGGCGCCAGGGCTGCCTGTGAGGATTTCAGGCGGCAGGCGAGAGCAGCAGCGCCGGCAGTGCCAGCCGGGCCCCACGGGGATCTGCCCGAGGCCGCCCAGCCCGGCAGGGCCGCGGGCTGTGCAGCGCTGCTCCTGCTGCCCCAGCGGGCCCGGCTGTCAGAGCTGCCCCGCGGGCGCCGCGGGACCAGCAGCAGCCTCAGGGCCTGGCCCAGGGCTCCGTCTGCTCGGCCTGGGGGCCCGGCCACAGCGGGGGCCAGGAGCTTAAGGAGCATCAGGGAGCCCGGGGAAGAGACAGGCTGCTGAGACAAGGCTCTGCCCACAGTTTAAGGGGTTTTATTAACTTATAATACAACTAAATACAACTAAATACTATAACTAAATACAACTAAAACATCATGTTTCCACACTGCAGTGTCACAGGCGTTTCTCGCTTCTGACGAGATGTCCCAGATCGAGCACTGGGCGCTGAGTCCTTTCCAGCTGGCTGGGGGCTGTGGATGTCCGGAGGGGCTGGAGAGGCTGGACGAGCCCTGGTGCACTTGAGATGTGTCGGGGGGCTGTGCTTGGCCGGGGCCCTCATGAGGCAGCAGGGCCTGGGGGTTGAAGGCCAAGGGTGAGCCACCACAGGTGCTGGCCCCCCTACCAGTACTCAAGCTCTTGTCCCACACTGGACATGGCCATTCTCCCATCGTTCTCCGGCTCCAAGCTCAGTTGCCCCCCATGAGCCAGTCCTCCTGCACCATTCTGTTTCTTCCCCTTCCTCTTAGTACTCCCCACACAAAATACCCATGCCACATTACCCAGCTCTGCACACGGAGCTCATCCCCCACCCGGTACCCCACAGATAATCAGCCCCCTGTCTTCGTTGACCCCCGTGCCCTAACAGGGCCATACCTGATGCATCCTGTGTCCTGATCGCTGTAGGATGCTGGTCATTACGGGCCCTTGAGATGTGTCCATCACTGTCCAGCAGCTGGGTCACATTGGGCTGAGGAGGAGAGGGCAACAAGCTGAAATGCTGGGCCCAACCAATCCAGCATCCCCTAATAATCCTCCCAATCCAGGTCTCCCTGGGGACTGAAGGCACAGATTCCCTCTGGATAGTCAGCAATGCCATCAAGCCTGAGTCGTCATTCTGTGTCCACCCCTTCATCATTCCTACCTTTTTCTGGACTGTCAAGAAGGCCTGTTGCTGACCGCTTCTCTGTAGGGAAGCCCTGATGTTCTGCGTTGTGGAGCTGCTGTTCTGATGGTACCCAGATCTCTGTGGCACACGAGGGACACTGCCATGGACAATCGGCCTCCTATGGGATGGGGCAGAGGACACTCTGTGCCCAGCCCTGTGGTATCCTGGGCTTCACCCTGCTGTGCCAGGGAGGGGACTGGCAGTGCTGCCTGCAGGGGCATGTCCCTCCCAGCTCCTGTCCACCTGCTGCAGGAGCCCCAAGCCCATCCCACCAGGCTGGTTCTGCTGGCTCTGTCCCCACAGCCAGCTCTACAGGCCATGGCCATAGCAGGTCCCTGTGCACAGGATCCCAGCAGGCAGGAACTGGCCTGTCCCAGCTGCAGGGCTGGGTTTTGGGAACTGCTTTCACAGGAGGCACACAACTGCCCACCACGTCTGAGCTCAGATTGAAAACAGACACAGCTCACCAGATATGCTTTCAGCAACCTTGGGACATAGAGGTGGGCCAGACAGGGCAGTGCAAGTGGGGGACTGCATAACTCCCCATACTGGTGGGGAGGGTCCCACAAGTCTGTGGTGACATGGAAGGATCCTCATTCAGCAGTGAGAAGCCGACATAAAGGTTGTGAAGGGCTGAGTTAGACTGAGCTGTCCTCAGGGCCTTTGAGGTATTTTTGGAACCAATCAATATTGCTACAGATTTGGAGTATGTGGCGGGTGTGGTACCCAGGGCAGAGCATGCAGTGCTCAAAGTTTCCAACCCGGTAATATTCAGCTTGCTGTCGGAGATGATCTATCTGGTTTCCCACTGAGAGCAACCCTGTTGTGTAATGCATGTGAGGTCACACACTGACCTCCCTGGTTTTATCTCAGAAGTGAACAGTAGGGCAGATGCTCTGGCCGCTCCCCTACAGCTGGTTGGCCAGCCTAACATCTTCCAACAGGACAAACTAAACCATCAACAGTTCCACCAGAACGCCCCATGTCTGGTCCGCCAATTCCACCTGCGGTGTGACCAGGCCAAGGCAATTGTGGCCACACGCCCCAACTGCCAGGAGTCCTCTTTACCATCTCTGGGTTCTGGTGTGAATCCCAG